AATGATTAAAATAATGTATATTAAAATAAATACACATTATTTCCTCAACAAATCATGTCCTAGGTGTTGCCAAACAGTATCTCAGAGAAACTTTTAAATATAACCTTTGTATGATCTCAAAGAGAAAGTACAAGTGCAAAGTCTGAAAAATATGATCAAGAGATAAATGCTTATAATTAAAAAAATCATTTTCAACTTTAAAACTTTAAACAGATACTGTCATTAATGGGGCAAAAACAAAGATATGTAAGTCCCAAAATAGTTGTGTTCATATACAGAGTAATCTATTTACATTGCATTGTTCTATTACATCCAAAGTTTGAATTCTGTATTATGAAATCCACCCTAAGGGCTACAAGGTTTGCAGACATTTACCACCAATTTATTGTCTGTTCTCCCCCTCACACTTAAACATCTCAGCACCTAAAATGTAAATTATACTTCTGCCTTAAACTGAAGCAAGATCACCATGACTAAATGATAAACCATCTGATAAATTCAACACTTTTCTGAGCAATAGTAATAAATTATCAGCAATAACTAAACTGAGGCTTCTCGCTTCATTTGTTTTTAAAACCGATTCCATCATTCAACAAATAAACTACATCAATCTAATAACCTACTCAATGAAGCAGAAAACATATTGACTCCCTTGCAAGGACATGTTCCGCCTACCTAATTCAAATAAGCACATCCCATTTTTAGCTGTGGTTTCAGGCTCAACTGTTCACAGACTCTACTTTGGAAATTCCTTGTCAACAAAGATATGGCTAGTTTTTAAACAAGATTTCAGATAGAAACAGATAAGGAAACTTTGACTGCTTACCAGTTTACTGATGGATTATTTAACAATCTTTTGTTTTTTAAAAAACAAGAAAGGATCTATTGAAGACTGACAGGTAAATCAAGAAAGTCTCCTCCTTTCAATTTCAGTAGGAAAAATTGCAAAGAAATTGTACAGATTTCAGAGTAAACTCTGCAGAAATATGTGAAACATATTTTGAAACAAAATAATTTGATTGTAAAGGCATTATTCATGTGATTGGGTTCACCCTTGTGCAGAGCCTCACTGACTTCCACAGGGATCTAAACAGTCTGCTGCACAATTCAGATTGCTGAATCAAACCCTAAATTAATCTTGCTATCTTGCTTATGCACAAAACCTTCATCTTGATAAATATTATTATTATTTTATTATTAAATTATTATTGCACAGTTGTCCTTTACTCATAATTTTTAATGGAATCAAAGTTATAATTGGAGCTATATATTTATTGGCCTTATCAATAAAAATTCTCCTCAAAATAATGACTGCATAACTAAAGCTATTTTTAGAAACAGAGGTACACAGCTGCTACAGAAAGTTTTGAAATAAAACACTGTTAAAAGAGAACAATGCAGTGCTCTCAAATTGCTCAGAGTCATCTCAATATGGTAGAGTATATTCTTCCCATTGTCCTGATAAAGTAAGATTTAAATAATTATTGTAACTGCAAGCAAAAACATTCACATGATGAAACGCTTTAGCATCTCATCAGCCTTGTGTTATTGCAGGATAACCGTATACCATGCAGAACTTACTTTGCACTTGTTTCTTGATACTTATAGCTTCCTAAACAGAAAATGAAATTCTCACTAAAATAGGCAATATACTTAATCTGCACTGCCATATACCATCTTTGTCTCTTAAAATAAAACTTTTCAGTAATAGAATTATGCAGATTTTATAATGTTATGTACAAAATTTGCCACTCATTATATGCAAATACTTGATTTACAGCTCAAAAAAATTGAGACATCCAACTAGGACAGGTTAATCACAGAGGCATCTTTAAAATTTTAACTATTAAAAAAGTCACATAGAGAATCATGTTTTAATTAGCAAGGATACAGATGCTTTACATGTAAGAAATACAATTATTGGAAAACTATTCAATTTTTGCTCAAGTTACAAGCTAGTTACTGTGCACGTAATCATACTCTTTAATTTATTTTAAATATTACTCAATTCGAAAGATTAACAATGTCTACATAAAATACAACTTCCTAAAAGATGCATTCAGGTGGGCGGTTACTTAAGGCCTATAAAACAATAAATATAACAAACAATAAATAAAACAAAACAAAACCCAGAACCCCTCCATGACGTCTTATGATCCTTTCCATGTTTTTACATGACACAAAAGATAGAGGTAGTATCAATAGACTGTTTTCTTTCTTTATTCCCTTATGTGTATTTTCTTAAAGAAAAACTACATAAATCCCTCTAAAATGAACCCCCTAAAAAAGAAAAAAAAGTAGAAGAGGAGGAAGGAAAAAAATAAATCGAGGACATGCAGCCAATAAAGCATAAATTACCCAGTAGCTGAAATCAGTGTCTCTAGGGTATCACATGCCAGTTTTCTGGATCAATCCCCAAGTTTATATTTTCACAAATCTTTTTACATGCGGTTTGATTTTTAACATTTTAATGAGCAAAAAGTGCATCTATAGCAGCCAGTCACCACAGTTAAAGTGCAGGGCATGAACTGTGTCCCTTGGGGGATTCAGCCTAGCCATGTCACCGCTGGCTTTAGGACATACACCACCTGGTTCTATGTCCCAAGGTTCCAACTCTTTTCATAATCAAAACACTGCTGACATTATAAACCCCACATGGGTTTTCTAAAATCCTTCCCAATCAATAAAGCCAGCACATAACTTATCGGAGACAACACAGAGCTCATTGATTAAGTTTGGTTTCAGTAGCAAAGTTTACAAAATAAATGAGCCAGGAATACAGTGTTCAGCCCTTTTGTGTCACACGGCAATTTATGCAGGAGAGGCAGCCTCTGAAAGGATATCCTCCCCCATATACTTTTAAAAGGTATGCAAAGCAAGGTTGTTAAACGCACACCTAACTTATATCCTGAATTATCTATATTTTGAGATGAAACAAATAGTAGAGAAAGTTGATTGTTGCTGAAAAACATACTTGCTCCCATTTCAAAGTCAGTGGAACAACTTTTAACCCTCCTAAGTACTGCTTTATTTCTCTTGTTCAAGTGAACATCAGTAACAAACATTACATGCTACAGCTACAATTAAATAATAATATAAAAAATGCACTGAGAGAAGGACAGGCAAATTGTTGAGTCTAACACAATAACAGCAAACTGTTCCAAACTGATCTACTCTTAGATTCAAAATGAAACAACAAAAGTTTGAGTAGAAGCTGGAGTAAAACGAAATTAAAACACAGGCAGAGAAGATCTGCGAAAGATTATGAACAACTAAGGCAAGACAAGCAAATATTAATCTGAGTCAGAGAAGAGAAACAATATACCACATAAAAGAAAACAGGTTGGGGACGTGTATTTGGAGACCCATTGGGAAACCTGAGGAAAAATAAGATGAAGTTGAAAAGATTATCCAGAATACAGACCAGAACTTTAGCCATGGAATGCCATGGAAAAAAAAAATGTATTTCAGATAGTCCATACAACATGTTTAGAAGAGAACAATTCACATATTACAAGAGAACGGAGCACTGCAAACAAAATGGGTTTTCCATGGAGAGCTGACTCGGTGATGAAAAAGAACATGAAGTGAGTTTTATTTCCTTGACCTTAAAGCAGAGCTGAAGTATTGGTGAGGCTGCCGTAGGTGAAATGCTAAACAGAGAGGATGGAAATACAAATAATTTTCAACTTATCCAGTCTAAGACTCCATGATACCTACGTGAAATCCATCCCCTTAGTACGGAGGGAAACAAAGAGCGTTTGAAGAGCAAAGGAAGGAGATACTGGAGAGCAACAAGGGTTTAAAAGAGAACAACGAAAGCCAGCTTTATGAAAGAAAAAATCTTATGATCAAGGGATATAAGAACAGGTAATAGGATTCTTGACTTGACCATCAAGCAACAATGGATGACTTAGTGAGAGCTATTTCAAATGACAAGTACAGAGCAAAATAATTTAGTTTTAAAATCTCAGAACTACTGCAAAGTGAAAATTAGAAACTAACAGACAAATTCACCTTTGAAAGGTTTAGCGTATTTTTTATTTCTGCTAGGAAATAACATGAAATTTAACACAGCAAAAATGTTAATACAGCATAAAAAAGTGCTGATTAAGACAAACTGAAGCATTAACTGAAGCAAAATATTATCCAACTATTTCAAAATTTGGGTTATACTTTAATCTACCTTATAACCACTAAATTGTAAACTGCTTTTATATTTAATTAAGTTATCTGAATAATTTTAAGCTAATGGTTAATTAAAGGATCTACTGCAATGGAAAAACAGGTTTAAGAATTCAAAGTAGTTGTCAGCTCACCCACATAACCAACTTAAATTTGATGACAACTCCATTTAAAACTCAAAGGATGTTAAAAAATAAAAAATAAAATGAAATGAAAGGTACAGAATAATCTAGAACATTATAAATTCATGAGTTGGTCAGAAATTTATATACATTTTCCAAGGAAAGGGAACATCTTTATGGAATTCAATAAAATGTT